GTGCGAATGTCGAACGCGTTAACAATATGTAGCCAATTTATGCCTAAGCTTCCGAGCAGGATCAGCTCTCGTGATTGGATGGGAAGGTGAATGGTTGGCAGATAATTGGGCATTGAATGTTACGAGTACGTTGTACGTTTGCAATCTAATCAATTTTATATTTAGAGACGTCTATGAATCGACGTTTGTCGTCAAATTTCAATACAATAGCCGGATAATCCAGCATCGAAGTTACAGTTAGAGATGTGACACCTGGTAGCTCTTGACGTTAGGATACAAGTTTTCTACTTCAATAGCGCTTCCTGTAATTGCTTTAAATATTCATGGATAAACGACCGGTATTTAATCCCGATAGAATAGGCAGATGATTGAGTATTGAACGTGATAAAACCACAGTTAACGTTGTGACATGTCAAACACTTTATTCTAGAATCTAATAACTTTTTCACGTCGATATTTCTATGCATAAGTATCTGTCCTCGATGCATGGGTCTTCTGAATAGTCGGATAATTGACCATTGGCAACTGTGAGAATATTATAATGCTAAAATGACAGTGGAAATCAGAAGCCTGGCACGAATATCTCTGCATCTGTGTGTCTAGCAATCAAGTTCCTCGCTCCACTTTTGCTACTGTTGTAAATGTAAATCTCTGAGCCTAGCCATTTTGCAATTAAGTCCCAACAGAATAGCCAGATAATTGACCATTCGGTATGAGAAAAGTAGCCAGCAAACATAGGCAGCCTGCAACATCCCAGCATAGACTGTACCCACTCTACGTCGCTTTTGCAACCTACAAATGTCAGAGTGTACTTGTTTCGTTGCATCGGAATCGCAGTTGGCAGTCAGCTTTCACTCGACACATCTCATTAGTCGGGTCCTACGCGAGTCTAAGAAGCAGAATCCTCGACGGATTGCGCCGGCATAATGCAGTGGACAGTGTGTGTTTCCGCCTATGATCATCCGCGGGACAGGAATTTGGAATTCGAGGCAGGCTGCACCTTTGGGACCAGTCATGGCAGGCTAGTTAGCCCTTTGACCACATTTCCAGCGAAATTACGTAATGACGATAAGCAAAGACATTCCCTGTCCCATGCTCCGACGCGAATCGTTATTCCGCCAGAGGATACGCGCTATTATCAGGCTCACGAGCGAGTCACATGCGCGTTGTTCTTCCAACTCAGCCGGAACTCCTTCAGACTCGAGATCTGATCCCAAGTTTCCGCGTCCCAATTCGTGCTGCTTGTCTTTACGATAAGTGTCGGCTTTACTGTTTCGTTCGTGGTCGGACGGTGTAGTTCCAGTTCTCTGTTTGACATTCCGTTAAACGTTGCAGTGGAAACGTGTCCAAATTTATCGAGTCACCGCGAAGATAGTTGGTTATCGGATCGCGCTGAATGGTTTGTTCATTTTAGACGAGTGAAATTTTGCAAGAGTTGATTCGTGCTAATTGTTTGAATGGTTCCAGTATGGTTCCTTGTTGCACGGAGTTTGCACAAATTTCGCAAGTGTCTAAGTTAAGAATGTGCAGTTTTCTGGATACGTATGAGAATTTACTTATTCGTCTTTCAAGCAAGAAACAGTTGCACTCGAACAACGTTTGCTCGGTATTGTTCTCGTTGTATTCGCATGTACGAAAATTTATTCGACCGTGATGCTGTTTATCTTCGACGTGCATTCGCTCTCCATCATTTACCTTCTCCATTCATTCTCGATTTACAAGTGAACACGGATAACCGAGCACGATATAGGGGCCACCTGACGTCTCTTAACTTTTTCGCTACCAAGGTAGCGCGTATAAATTACCGGTGAAAATTCGAGCGCTAGTTCACCTTCGACGGGGCATAATTCAATTACAGAATCGCGGATGAAATCACCAGCGATGATTTCGCTGTTTATAGTTGCCCATAGCGGGACATTGCGATGCAATGAAAATTAATATGCAACGACAGAGCCGACGCCTGTGGGTGTCAAACCAGACGGAACTAATTTGTTATTCGCAGCGTAGTTATAATTCTCGTATAAATTTGCTTCCGATAATAAGGCGAGATACGGTTATAATAATTTTATACAATCGCGCGCAAATGCCTCCTACAAAATGGTACCACGTTTATCTCCACCTGCGTCCATTATAATACTTAACATATTGCACGACACCCGAAACAAACCACTTTGTCCAATAGCTCTAATATCGATTAAATCTCCTGGACAATTATTACCTCGAAGCTTCTTTGATCGTTGGAAAAAATTAGAATCGAAAATCAGTGCGAAGAACCAACGTTTCAGACGCGTCGACCCTAACCGCTGTCAAGTTTCTTTTAAAGAAAATCAACGGAGCTGCTTCAACCCACGGCCCAAAACAACATTAATTTTCGATTGTATACCACAGCGAGCTTATTGAACCATAGATTCACCCTCCCCAATCCTCGGCAAAGCAGTAGAACCCAGTACACGTCGCGAGGAACACGTAGCAGCGAAGTTACCAGCAATGGTTGCTCCTCCGACGCAATGTTCCCGCGCAACTGCGAGATTCCACGAATCCTGGCCCCCCGAGCTCGCGAACCGCTTTTCAAGGTACACGGATCATTACAAGCTAGACGGAAAGACCGAAAGAGATAGGTTGTTATTATCGTGCCCCTCGAGCCAATTCGTCGCGTTCGCGGCGGAAGGATCCAGGCGACGGCTATAGAGGGTTGCGGAGGATTGCTGATGGCGTAGCGAGTGCTGCGACCCCTTATTAGCCGGCACCGTTAGGATTTCGGTGTTTTCTGGCGCGGGTGGCCGCTACCTGGTCGTCTGCCGTGCCCCTGTGCGCGGAACAGCCCGTTGTCCGGGTAGCCCTGGAGATACCGGGCCTCTGGAGAGGGTCTCCAGGAGACCGTAAAGGCTGAAGCGGGTAAAAGGCGCCGCCTTGAACGCCGTGGAGTGAAAGGAAGAAAGAACGGGAGAGGAAGGTTGCAGGAAGAGATAGACGCAGGAAGACGGGTACGCTCGTCCTCAAAGCTGGAATGCCGCAGGCGTTCGTGTACGTTCTCCTGATAGCGACCACGCCAGTGACTCTCGTTATTCGACCATCGGTGTCCTCCAGATTCTTGTTTATTCCACAATCTCTCCGCTATCAACTGACCATCGTCCTCAAAGCTGGAATGCCGCAGGCGTTCGTGTACGTTCTCCTGATAGCGACCACGCCAGTGGCTCTCGTTATTCGACCATCGGTGTCCAGATTCTTGTTTATTCCACAATCTCTCCGCTATCAACTGACCGCCAAGTTTCCGCTGACATTGTCTCCGTTTACTCTTCAGCTCCGTTTGCTTCCAGCTTCTCTCCGCGTCTCTGTCATTTGGCAGCGTCTAGGTCCTGGCGCAGACCAGATGATGGAGCGGCGAGCAAACGTTCCAGGCTAATTGTGGTGACAACGTACATGTTGGTCGCCCTGCAACGCTGTTCAGTCTGCGAGATTGAGGAGAATATTTCTGCTACTGTTTCAGACAGATTCACAAGGGAAATTGACACGATATTGATGTCAAAGTTCTAAATTACAGTCGAAAATACGAAATTTGCGAGCTGTTGGATTGAATAAATAATACAAATAAGCGTTATTTCAAGTATTTAAATTTGGTATTGGTTATTATGGTTATTTGGTAGATGATATTATGCAGACTTCCAAACGCTGGAAATTATCTGACGAAACTGTGACGCTGCGATAACACTCCTGTCTCCAGACGGAGCTTTGACAGCTGCATTTTCTTACCACCTCTAACCAATCAACCTAGACAATTCGTATTAAGGGTCAGATAAACTCCTATTCCAAATTTTATATAAACCCACGAAATCCCAATAAAGAGTCTCATTCAGCTATCAAACATCAAACGTTAATCTTCAACTTGACCAATACGTCACAAGGAACCAAGGTTTTCCTGGCTTTTCTGATTTCATATTTTTCTTTTTCCTTTCTTATAAAACCTTCATCATCTATGTGACAAAGTCTCAAACGTATTTTTAGGACGTATGATACATTTTTCATACATTTATGAGACTTTAGCCAAAGTCTTGTATATTCGTAGACTCAGTTGTCTGGATTATGAACCATGTCATCGAAAGGATCGGAAAACTTGACAGTTTCTCAAATATTTGTACAGAATTGCGTATCGAGACGATGAAACATCGATTTCGAGCGGATTATCGAGGGAATTATCAGCCGATGGAGTTGAGCGAATTACACTGAGGGCGTTTCACCTCGGAGAATGTGAGTTTCTCACCTGGAACGCGCGATCCGCGACCAAGTAGACCGCATTCCAAGACCCCGAAGGCTGACTTTTGCTCGGAAAACTAATTCGTCACAGTGACGTAATCTGATTAGCTCACGCTCGTTAACACTCGCCAATATGGCCGGCTATCGATCAAGGCCTGATGAAGACGTGCCCGATAGTCCTGGATTCGAACAGATGCAGTTGCGGTTACGTAGACAGCTATTTATAGCGATACAAACGGCATTTCTTTATCGCATCGCGTGATTTATCATTTTATCCAATTACGAATTTCGATACCGCGTGTGTAAAATGCGGCTGAAAATAATTTGATCGATCCTGAATTAAAAACTACGCGTTGCTCCGATTAATTTGTAATGTGGATGACGTTGAACGATAATAAATTTTTGCTTCGTTCATACGACCATGAATTGTTATCTCCACGTCTATAATTTTTCATAGCCTCGAATTTTCAACTCAAAAGAATATTTCTTTTTTAAATCTCGGACATGGATCAATAAATCTACCGATTAATAAATGATTGACACAACTCCTTGGAACTGCAGTTCCAAATTGGTGAAAAATAATTTTCCATTGTCAAAGAAATCATCCGATCCAAAGTTTACCTCGGCTTCTGTCGAGGTTTCGCCAATTTCAATTTTAACCCCGTGTCTGGAAGTTTCAGAGAAATCGAATTAGAAAATTGGCGAAGAAGGGCAACGGACATAAACACGTTTTACATTTCTGATTGCAGAATATCCTGGACAAGTTCAACCCAGGGGCGAGGCAGCTGATCAATGCCGGGAAGGCATATTTGAAAGCTCTTCATGGTGAGTGAATTAAATTGAATCTTTAAGGGGGACAGATCGGGGTGCCGGGACAAAAAGGCGGAGGAGCTGGCGAGACAAATAGCGACAGACGGACGATCGTGAAGTGTCGGCACGGGGGTTGGGTTGGGTTAAAACGAAGAAAGAAAGGACAAACGAGCGCGGAGTGAGCTTTATGCCGTCTCCTGAGTCCTGTTTCAGGATCGAATTGCCAGCTCGTCAGAATTGCACACTGGAGGGGTGTCGACCTTCTATTTCATTCTTTCGCCCTGGTCCCTGTGCTTCCGTCATCGTACGTGCCTTATCGTTTTCCCTTTGACTCTATCATCCGGGATCGATGGATCTTCCTCTTCGCGTGAACAGTGTTCACCTGAACCCTCTTATTCTTTTCCCTTTGACTGTTCATCCGTGATCGATGAATCTTCCTCTTCGCGTGAACAGTGTTCACCTGAACCCTCCTATTCTTTTCCCTTTGACTGTTCATCCGTGATCGATGGATCTTCCTCGTCGCGTGAACAGTGTTCACCTGAACCCTCTTATTCTTTTCCCTTTGACTGTTCATCCGTGATCGATGAATCTTCCTCTTCGCGTGAACAGTGTTCACCTGAACCCTCTTATTCTTTTCCCTTTAACTGTTCATCCGTGATCGATGGATCTTTCTCTTCGCGTGAACAGTGTTCACCTGAACCCTCTTATTCTTTTCCCTTTGACTGTTCATCCGTGATCGATGGATCTTCCTCTTCGCGTGAACAGTGTTCACCTGAACCCTCTTATTCTTTCCCCTTTGACTGTTCATCCGGGATCGATGGATCTTCCTCTTCGTGTAAACAGGATTCATTTGAACCTCCTTTTAGTATAATCCATTCAATTAAAATATTGACTGAGTTGTGATATAAGCGATCTAAGTGATCTAAATGATCTAAATCACCGTTTTCTAAATTTTCATTAAAAATTTCGCGTTCGACGTTTTTAGCTTAATCACGTATCTTCGTGATTTTTCTTCAGATATACGTGTAATCATTTTCTCAATGACTCCCGTTATTTTATTTTTTAAAGCTTCTGCTTCTTTCCCATTCACCGCTTACTTGACCATAGTAGATTTAGCGTTGAATTATTTGTATAACGCGAAGAATAGGTATCCTCCTTCGAAATGGATAAAAGGATCTCCCATTTATTTAATTTTAAGATATAACGTTTTAGATACGTGGCGATTTATCGAAGAGTGGTACATAGATCTATGGATCCATTTTTCAGAATTATCCCAGATACCGATTAGAGATCTCGCTGATGATTGACTGAGAAATCGAAGAGATCGATGACATTCGATTCCCGTAAATAAAATCAGATATTTGATTTGGATTTAATTAATCGGGACTTAAATTCCTAGATTACCACGTACCCTCTTTCGTGCCCACTTAGACTCACGGTTAATTCCTTAACAGACCGATAATGGCGCGAATCGCATTCCCCGTAGTCATAGCTGCGATCGATCTCGATTCGAAAGGCAATCGGTTATTTAATCGAATTCCTGAGGAGAAACTGCCGATCGACACATTCTTCTTTACCATTCTAAGCAGAATTAATTCCCGTGCAATAATTAACATCGCATTCCATAACGCACTATTAGAGCACTGCGTCTGCGCGTTGTCAAACAATGCCGAGTACCCTGCGCGTCTATTTTCCCTCTAGTCCTTACGATGATCGATCGTGTTCGGGAATTAACCCACTGACCCTGAAAGGGGCCCCGGTCCTAGGAGCCGGACAGCGGGAAAAATGTGTGTCGCCCATCGTGCAAACTCGATTCCCGCATTATCGCGGTTAAGATTAATCCCGATGCAGGTGCACAGTCGGAATATACGCGAAAACATAACGGAACTCGAAATTGTTGGCGTTTAAGATCAGCCCACGGCGCAGGGTACTCATTCCCGCTCGTTAATTGAGCACGATGACAGTGTCGCATTTTTCACTCTACTTCTGTCATTTACCACTAACGTGAAGCTACGATTTCCTCCACTTTCATCTCCCCTCTGCGTCGTTAATCTGATCGTGAAAGTATGAATCATAATTAACGAAGGCCAAACGAGGCGAACGTCCCGCGTGCTGCGTCCGAGAGACACGAATCGCTGGATTGCGTTGTACATGGGAAATTATTCATTGACACGTATCCGGTATTAATTGGTCCCTCGTTGCGACTGTTCTTTCCGAGTAATCATTGGACAAACCAACGCGTGATTAACTCTTCGATTATGACAGACTTTGAAGTACATAGTGAAACTTTTCGTCGGGTGTTCATTTCTGAGAAATTATTATATATTCGAATAATAATCGAAACGCTATATTTTATTATTATAAAATGATATTATTCGTTTCTTCTTACTCTACGTTAAATTGTTACTGTGTATATTTCAAATTTATCAGGAAAAATATTTTTGAGCGCCTTTAGGTGTTGACAGTAGTCAAAAGGATGATACCAGAGTTAAGAGGATTCGTTCGCTCTGGTAACATCTATCTTGACGTCCCTCTGCCAAGATTTTTCGTCCTAATTACGATTTACTCGAACTGAACTCACCCTCGATAAATAAGATTTAGGATGAATCCTTAACCAAAATGAAATACCTTCATCCATCGCGAGTCCCCTTAAACGCAGAGGCCTGAAAAGGGTGGGTAGGTAAAGAATTCAAGGTCACTCGTGATTCTCTCGCAAACGAAATTTAACGTCCCTCTGCCACCACTTTTGGATTTAATTACGAATTATTAGAACCAAATTTACTCTCGATTGGATTTGGGAAGAATCCTTAACCAAAATGAGATACCTTGATCCATCGCGAGTTCCTCTAAACGCGGAGGCCTAGAAAGGGTGGGTAGGTAAAGAATTCAAGGTCACTCGTGATTCTTCGCAAACGAAACTACCCGTTTCGCAGTGCAACGATCCGACTGGCTGTACGGGTAGCGCGTGTATTTTATTATGCCGCGATAAAAGCAGGCGACGTGTTAAAAATTTAGTCGGACCACGTGCAAAGACAGCACTGGCTCAAAGACCGCAGTGACGCGAACCGGATACCCGCGAGCAGCGTGCGATCCAACGGGAAATATTTGGCAAGCAGGCGATACAAGCCCAGGCGCATTACGCGACACAAAGGACGGCCATTGTGTTCGCGTGGTTTTCCACCCCCCTTTTTCCCTTTCGCCCTCTCCGTCCTCTTTCATTTTTTTCCCCATTCGATGTTCGCGGGGACATCCCGAGAGCGTCTCTCTAAATCTCGGCGCGTTCGCTCTGCTCCCGCGGAACGCAGTCTATTATGGCTGATAACGAAACGTCAGGGGGGCAGAAGCGGATGGGTGGAGGAGGAAAATCGTTATACAGCGCGTAGCGAGAGCCGAGCGAGCTCGAGCCAGCTGGAAAGCTCCGACTCGTAAGCGGAGCTTAAATCTGGCTTTGTCACGGTGAAGCGCACACGTGGAATCACGCGCTCGTGTCGAGGTGATGCTTGCACCCTGGCCCGAAGGGGTGGACGATTCCCTGGGGAGGGACTGGAGGTTGAACGAAGGACGGCGAACGCGAGGATCACAGAGGGTGGCGACTGGGGGTTGGATTTGAATAGAGATAGTCGGCAATGTCGGCGAAACGGATGGGAAACGCGGGGTGGAAGAGGTCAATGCGGAGACGCGGATGAAGAGATACGAGTCTAGAAGGAATGGACGGGCTGGTCGATCGACGCTCGGGGGGTGGTGGCTAAGGAAAAAATAAAGACAATGGTGAGTCATTGCGGCGGGAGGACGACGGGACTCCCTGGATGGCCAGAGGCGAGAAAAATGGTCTGTAACGAGGGGTCAAAACGAAGACAATTAGACGAGGGGGTTGGCGCGCGCCGTTGCTGAAAGAACGATCCGATGGGGGGTGGTGGTATCGAGCGATCGCGAAGGAAATACGAAGGTAAAGTAAACGGGGAAGCGGTGTAGAAAATTAGACGCGGGCTCGGTGTGCGTGGAGAGAGGGTAGAAAAATGGCAGGAAATTAAAAGTAAGGAGATAATATGAGAGGAAAACAGGAAACGATAAGGGAACATTTATGCGCTGTTTATGGCGCTCCTGGGTGCCTTTCGAAGGAAAAACACGGGAAACGCAAGGAAAGCTGAATAAAATGCAAAATACGCGCTATGAAAATGTCAACGGAAGATAAGGGGCACCGCGGAAACGGGAGGGCGCGACGGAGTTAAGAAAACGAAGGGAAAAAAGCGGAAAGAGATTGGTAGGAAAACGAAGAAACGGGAAAAGTGGATTCCAGCGGATCCGTGGGATTAAACGAAAAAGAAACGCGTTGTTAGAGACCGGGCACAAAGGGAAAAGGAGATGGCCGAACGGCGAGGAGGGGGAGGGAAGGAAGAAGTTTAAAGGCGGTGCTGATGAGACAAAAGGGAGAAAACGGATGAAAAGAGAAACGCCATTTAACACCGGAATATGGATTAGACGGAAACGGAAACGCGGGGGTGAACGGGGGCGTAGAAAAGGGTGAAAAAAATGCAAGCAAGGGTTGCACCGAGGGAAGGGGAGGAAAGATTGGGATTCAAGATCCAGCTGACATCAGCCAGAAATATCGACGTATTTATTCCTGTAAATTTATGGTGACCATCGGATGGAAGATGGCGAAATTTTTGCCGAGGGTCGCGCGTGCATCTGAATAAAACATATACTCGCGCGATTTGTAATAATGGCATTACGACGATACACAGCCTGCACGGTTCAGACCGCCATTTTTCGGCTGTCGCGAGTAAACGCGAGGAGTCTAGTCGCTTTTTGATACGTTGACCTTAGCGTCTGGAACCCCACACGTTTCCGTTTCGGGCTTTCCTCGAAAATTCTTGAAAAATTGCACGATCCGGAAGGAGGTTTACCCGGTGGAAATGCACCGTTTTGAGAAGCTCGCAGCCGCGTTTCGCGCTAGTATACTCGCGACAATAAAGTGCAAACTGCCGTATTTCTGGGTTCTAGAACTAATCCGCGAC